GTGCCGACCGTTTCACGAGCCCTTTTGATAAAGAATTTCACAATACAAATGCAAAAATCAGTTACATGTTCCTGTTTTTAGTATTTTACACCATTTTATAATGGGGCTGTTTTTATTTCATTTTGTATCACTACTTGTATTTACTTTCCATTTTATATGCTTTTTATCACTGTTTATTGTTGCCTGTAGCTCATCTGTGTTCCGTGTTTAAATCAGGTCTCTCTTGTGAATGAGTCCTCGACGCTCAGTGAGACGAACCCGTGGAAATAAAGGTTGGATGAAAAACGCCAGACAAATGGAATTAGATGAGAACAGTAATGAGGACAGAAGTGAGGGATGCTGTCCAACTGTCCATCACTTTGTCCCTAATGTCTCTGCTGGGCAAACCCCGGGCTCTTCTTGGGATCTGGTCAGCCCTGGAGGTCTGAAATAGGAACCAACTACTAAACAACTAAAACATGCACCAACCTGCTCATTTATTTAAAGGTAACTTTTAGGCTGTTGTGTTAGCTAAAATACTTTATAATACTGAGAATAATGGTTCCACTTGAGCAGAACTCCATGACAACAAGACTTTTAGTCTGAACGAGCAACAAACTCTTTGGTCATCTTTCTGTTGTAGCTTAAAGGAACAAACCAAAGTGAACTAAAACAAATGTTGTCCCAAACCAAATGCTCAAATATAAGCTTTATTTCTAGAACACTTTTCTTAACGTTACTTGACAAAAATGGACTAGTTGAGTTATGTGGAATGATGATGGAGCCACAGTGACAGCAGTTTTTTCTCCCACCAAATGGGTTCAAGTAATCAACTGGAGATAGGTCCAGGACCAGGATCTCACTGGTCCAGGACCAGGATCTCACTGGTCTGGGCCTGTTAGTGACTCGTTGGCATTTGAGTCTCCAGAATTTCTTAAAATGTAAAGACTTACCCCCGACTCGGAGCTCTCCATGTTTTCCAGCATATTTTGTTCAGTTTGATTAATTTGAACTAATTTAGCCTCTAAACATCAAAATGCTGAAAAAATGTGAAAAACAAGCTCCTTCACTGAAGCATAAGAGGTGAACGGTATCTCATCCAGCCCATGACGTACATCCCAGTGATTTTAGGCTACACAAAGGTTTTACAGCTAAACATTTGAAACAATATAAACATCAGCGATTAAAAGCAATACATTGAACTTAATATAATTTATTTTACCAGTTGTGTTGTGCACCAATAATTTAGTGAAAACAGCAAATCAAGCTTAAACTCCACAGGTGTCTGCGTCCAGTGGCTCGGGGCAGCTTTAACGTGCTGCAGACCTGTGATGTTGAAACGACGGCTGAAGGCCTGCACGGGGTCAGAGTCACACCACGAGGACACGACAGGCATTCACCGCTGAAACATGGCAATAAATCAGTCCATTAGTTATAAACCATTAGGAAATTGATTCAGGCTCGACTTCTGCCCTGCATGGGTTGGTTCGATCACGGTGTTCCTAATGACGGGCAGTGAGATTAAAACGTGAACATTTGCATGTGCAGCCTATTCCTGGAAAAACTGGGCAGCACCAAAACTTCAAGTGTCTAATAACATATAGTTAAATTGAATGGAACAAACTGGAATACGGCTTCAGTGATTTACAAAAAACTGACAAGGCTATTAATCAGTTTCATGAGAGGCGGGTGATGTCAGCACCACATTAGTTATCAGAGTTAAAACTTCAGGACATGAAAGGAGCTAAAGACGCACAAAGGTCAGGGCCAGATTCCACCAGCAGTTTATTCCTCAGACTTTTCATAAAATATTAAACACAATGAAAATAAAACTAGTCAGCAAAATCCCCCCTAGGCTGGCAGAAGAAGTTCATTGAATAAATAGATCAGGTTTAAATTATAAACACTTTACGTCAAAACTCTTGATTCTGAGCCGCTAACGGACTCGGTGATATTTGGCTGAGTGACGGGACGTTGTGGTGGTTTAAAAGCCTTTCGGACTGGATGTGGTGTGTTGTTGCTGTAAGTCCAGTCCTGAAACATTCAGGTGGTGCCCACCAAGGGCAAATTTTATAACTGGTTTTATATGCCATTTTTATTAATACCAGTGGAATGTGTCTACAGATAAAGTGCACCTTTATGCCGACGACACCAAACTTTACTTAGCTGGCTCTTCTTTAAGGCAGGCCGTTAAGGGCCTAAAACTGCCTTTATAAAGAGCATATTAAACATTTAATGAAGAAGCTACACGT